ATAAATCATAAGAAACTACTTGGAATATATCAGCATTAGAATATTTGATGAATTATGATGAATGTTATTTGTCGTCTTAGACACATACCAGCCTTTATGAATTAGAAATCTCATAAAGAAGCAGTTTTCCGTCCGAAAATGGGCCCGATATGACTTCCGGTGACGTAGAAGTACCATGTGATGTGGGCTATCTTTGATTACAGAGTAAGTGGACCACGTGATCTGTATTTCCTGTCACTAATAACACGAGTACCTTGGTTATATGATCTGTATAAGCTATCATAGATTGCACGACAACCTCGTCTATGTGATCTGTGTAAGCTATCATAGATTGCACGACAACCTCGTCCATGTGATCTGTGTAAGCTACCATAGATTGCACGACAACCTCGTCCATGTGATCTGTGTAAGCTATCATAGATTGCACGACAACCTCGTCCATGTGATCTGTGTAAGCTATCATAGATTGCACGACAACCCCGTCCATGTGATCTGTGTAAGCTATCATAGATTACACGACAACCCCGTCCATGTGATCTGTGTAAGCTATCATAGTTTACACGACAACCTCGTCCATGTGATCTGTGCTAATTTTCAAACATTACACGACAACCTCGCCCACGTGACTTAGGTACCTGTAGTGTTGATACAGTGTGTATGGTGATGTCCCGACTTAGGTACCTGTAGTGTTGATACAGTGTGTATGGTGATGTCCTGACTTAGGTACCTGTAGTGTTGATACAGTGTGTATGGTGATGTCCTGACTGAGGTATCTGTAGTGTTGATACAGTGTGTATGGTGATGTCCTGACTGAGGTACCTGTAGTGTTGATACCGTGTGTATGGTGATGTCCTGACTTAGGTACCTGTAGTGTTGATACAGTGTGTATGGTGATGTCCTGACTGAGGTACCTGTAGTGTTGATACAGTGTGTATGGTGATGTCCTGACTGAGGTACCTGTAGTGTTGATACAGTGTGTATGGTGATGTCCTGACTGAGGTATCTGTAGTGTTGATACAGTGTGTATGGTGATGTCCTGACTTAGGTACCTGTAGTGTTGATACAGTGTGTATGATGATGACCTGACTGAGGTATGTCTAGTGTTGATACAGTGTGTATGGTGATGTCCTGACTTAGGTACCTGTAGTGTTGATACAGTGTGTATGGTGATGACCTGACTGAGGTATGTCTAGTGTTGATACAGTGTGTATGGTGATGTCCCGACTTAGGTACCTGTAGTGTTGATACAGTGTGTATGGTGATGTCCTGACTTAGGTACCTGTAGTGTTGATACAGTGTGTATGGTGATGTCCTGACTGAGGTACCTGTAGTGTTGATACAGTGTGTATGGTGATGACCTGACTGAGGTATGTCTAGTGTTGATACAGTGTGTATGGTGATGTCCCGACTTAGGTACCTGTAGTGTTGATACAGTGTGTATGGTGATGTCCTGACTTAGGTACCTGTAGTGTTGATACAGTGTGTATGGTGATGTCCTGACTGAGGTATGGTGATGTCCTGACTGAGGTACCTGTAGTGTTGATACAGTGTGTATGATGATGTCCTGACTTAGGTACCTGTAGTGTTGATACAGTGTGTATGGTGATGTCCTGACTGAGGTATGTCTAGTGTTGATACAGTGTGTATGGTGATGTCCTGACTGAGGTACCTGTAGTGTTGATACAGTGTGTATGGTGATGACCTGACTGAGGTATGTCTAGTGTTGATACAGTGTGTATGGTGATGTCCTGACTGAGGTACCTGTAGTGTTGATACAGTGTGTATGGTGATGTCCTGACTGAGGTACCTGTAGTGTTGATACAGTGTGTATGGTGATGTCCTGACTGAGGTACCTGTAGTGTTGATACAGTGTGTATGGTGATGTCCTGACTGAGGTACCTGTAGTGTTGATACAGTGTGTATGGTGATGTCCTGACTGAGGTACCTGTAGTGTTGATACAGTGTGTATGGTGATGACCTGACTGAGGTATGTCTAGTGTTGATACAGTGTGTATGGTGATGTCCTGACTGAGGTATGTCTAGTGTTGATACAGTGTGTATGGTGATGTCCCGACTTAGGTACCTGTAGTGTTGATACAGTGTGTATGGTGATGTCCTGACTTAGGTACCTGTAGTGTTGATACAGTGTGTATGGTGATGTCCTGACTTAGGTACCTGTAGTGTTGATACAGTGTGTATGGTGATGTCCTGACTTAGGTACCTGTAGTGTTGATACAGTGTGTATGGTGATGTCCTGACTGAGGTACCTGTAGTGTTGATACAGTGTGTATGGTGATGACCTGACTGAGGTATGTCTAGTGTTGATACAGTGTGTATGGTGATGTCCTGACTGAGGTACCTGTAGTGTTGATACAGTGTGTATGATGATGTCCTGACTTAGGTACCTGTAGTGTTGATACAGTGTGTATGGTGATGTCCTGACTGAGGTATGTCTAGTGTTGATACAGTGTGTATGGTGATGTCCTGACTGAGGTACCTGTAGTGTTGATACAGTGTGTATGGTGATGACCTGACTGAGGTATGTCTAGTGTTGATACAGTGTGTATGGTGATGTCCTGACTGAGGTACCTGTAGTGTTGATACAGTGTGTATGGTGATGTCCTGACTGAGGTACCTGTAGTGTTGATACAGTGTGTATGGTGATGTCCTGACTGAGGTACCTGTAGTGTTGATACAGTGTGTATGGTGATGTCCTGACTGAGGTACCTGTAGTGTTGATACAGTGTGTATGGTGATGTCCTGACTGAGGTACCTGTAGTGTTGATACAGTGTGTATGGTGATGACCTGACTGAGGTATGTCTAGTGTTGATACAGTGTGTATGGTGATGTCCTGACTGAGGTATGTCTAGTGTTGATACAGTGTGTATGGTGATGTCCCGACTTGGGTACCTGTAGTGTTGATACAGTGTGTATGGTGATGTCCTGACTTAGGTACCTGTAGTGTTGATACAGTGTGTATGGTGATGTCCTGACTGAGGTACCTGTAGTGTTGATACAGTGTGTATGGTGATGTCCTGACTAAGGTACCTGTAGTGTTGATACAGTGTGTATGGTGATGACCTGACTGAGGTATATCTAGTGTTGATACAGTGTGTATGGTGATGTCCTGACTGAGGTATGTCTAGTGTTGATACAGTGTGTATGGTGATGTCCTGACTTAGGTATCTGTAGTGTTGATACAGTGTGTATGGTGATGTCCTGACTTAGGTATCTGTAGTGTTGATACAGTGTGTATGGTGATGTCCTGACTGAGGTATCTGTAGTGTTGATACAGTGTGTATGGTGATGTCCTGACTTAGGTACCTGTAGTGTTGATACAGTGTGTATGGTGATGTCCTGACTTAGGTACCTGTAGTGTTGATACAGTGTGTATGGTGGTGTCCTGACTGAGGTATGTCTAGTGTTTAGACAGTGTGTATGGTGATGTCCTTTAACAGCCTGTTCGAGTGTATCAATCCTCCACAGCCTGTTGGGGTGCATCAATCCTCCACAGCCTGTTAGGTACATCAATCCTCCACAGCCTGTTGGGGTGCATCAATCCTCCACAGCCTGTAGGGGTGTATCAATCCTTTAACAGCCTGTTGAGGTGGAACAATCCTCCACAGCCTGTTGGGGTGCATCAATCCTCCACAGCCTGTTTGGGTGTATCAATCCACCACAGCCTGTTGGGGTGTATCAATCCTCCACAGCCTGTTGGGGTGTATCAATCCTTTAACAGCCTGTTGGGGTTTATCAATCCTCCACAGCCTGTTGGGGTACATCAATCCTCCACAGCCTGTTGGGGTACATCAATCCTTCAATAGCCTGTTGGGGTGTATCAATCCTCCACAGACTGTTGGGGTAGAACAATCCTCCACAGCCTGTTGGGGTGGATCAATCCTCCACAGCCTGTTGGGGTGTATCAATCCTCCACAGCCTATTGGGGTACATCAATCCTCCACAGCCTGTTGGGGTGTATCAATCCTCCCCAGCCTGTTGGGGTGAATCAATCCTCCACAGCCTGTTGGGGTGGATCAATCCTCCACAGCCTGTTGGGGTGGATCAATCCTCCACAGCCTGTTGGGGTGCATCAATCTTCCACAGCCTGTTGGGGTGTATCAATCCTCCACAGCCTGTTGGGGTACATCAATCCTCCACAACCTGTTGGTGTGTATCAATCCTCCACAGCCTGTTGGGGTGTATCAATCCTTCAATAGCCTGTTGGGGTGTATCAATCCTCCAAAGCCTGTTGGGGTGCATCAATCCTCCACAGCCTCTTGGGGTACATCAATCCTCCACAACCTGTTGGGGTGTATCAATCCTCCACAGCCTGTTGGGTTGTATCAATCCTCCACAGCCTGTTGGAGTGGAACAATCCTCCACAGCCTGTTGGGGTGTATCAATCCTCCACAGCCTGTTGGGGTGCATCAATCCTTCACAGCCTGTTGGGGTGTATCAATCCTCCACAGCCTGGTGGGGTGTATCAATCCTCCACAGCCTGTTGGGGTGTATCAATCCTCCACAGCCTGTTGGGGTGTATCAATCCTCCACAGCCTGTTAGGTACATCAATCCTCCACAGCCTGTTGGGGTGGATCAATCCTCCACAGCCTGTTAGGTACATCAATCCTCCACAGCCTGTTGGAGTACATCAATCCTCCACAGCCTGTTGGGTACATCAATCCTCCACAGCCTGTTGGGTACATCAATCCTCCACAGCCTGTTGGAGTACATCAATCCTTTAAAAGCCTGTTGGGGTGTATCAATCCTTCACAGCCTGTTGGGATGTATGTCGCAGTTGACTGTTGGTCTTTGATGTCTGTTTAGGTATATTTCTATGAGTTGGTGTAGTTTGTTTCTTATTTTTTGATGTTTTGTGATAAATTCCAATAATTAAGTTTTCCTTTTTTAACCAGATGAATATGTTATGGTCTGTTTCAGAATCTCCACCAATGTCATCGAGCAAACCTTCCACAAAGCCGAGACAACAACCGATTGAATATGAGGTATGATGGACTAGTTCAGAAATTCTTCAGGAAAAGATGTCACCTCTTTTTGTTTCTGGCCGTCCTCCTGTTTCTTATGACACGTGATCAGTTCAGCAAACTGTCGAAGGATGTGTCTTTTAAAACCTTCCATTATCCAATGGACATCGACATGCCTGCCCTGGTTCGGGCTTACCGAGCGGGCGGACATGTGGACAAACAGCCTATCAACACTTATCAATACAGTTACACTACTAACGTCACCAACAAATGCAAACAGAGTGACCTGTTCCTTCTCTTCCTCATCAAGTCTTCCGTCCGCCATTTTGACAGAAGGGAATCAATTCGATCCACCTGGGGAAAGGAGGGGCCCATATCTGGTAGTTTTCCAATGAGAACAATATTTTTAGTTGGTATGCCGAGAGAAAACGACAACCATCGACTTTATGAAGCGTTAGAAGAGGAGATCCATCTATACAACGATGTCCTACAGATGACATTTAGAGACGATTACTACAACAACACACAGAAGACGGTTGGTGGGATTCACTGGGCCGTAAAACACTGCGGTCACGCTCAGTTTGTCATGTTTGTAGATGATGATTTCTACATAGCCACGCCGTTTCTCATAGCATATCTCAACACTCTGTCCGCAGAACAACACAAAACATTGTTCATGGGCAGTCTCCACGAAGATGCGCCTGACCGTAATATGTACGGAAAGTGGTTCATTTCTTACGAGGATTATCCATTTAACCGCTACCCACCATTCATAAGTGCCGGAGCTATGCTTATGTCTATGCATTTCTTAAAGGATATACAAATTGCAATACAGTTCACCAAGAATTTTCCTTACGACGACGTCTTTCTTGCTATTGTAGTGTTTAAACTAGGTATATACCCGCAGCACAACTCAAATATCTACACTGGAGAAATCAGGGTAGAACATAACAGTATGAAGTTTCACAGTGTCATCGCGTCTCACGGTTATTATAACGACGAGCTTCTTCAGGCAGCCTGGCGAACACATAAGGTGTACGTGGACGCTCTACGAAAGGTCTTGTACCCTGTTCCTCAACGAATAACTAACACAGGAAATAACACCACAGACCAAACAACGATTATATAATTCCTTCTTATATAATCTCACCTGTAGCTATCGAAAACAATCACTTGTAAACATATAATACAGACGGAGAGACAACTCCCCAGAATCGTACCCTTGGTATAAACGGAAATGTACTGTCTTTGATGCAAAGAATCTCCAAAGTATCCATCTGTATTTAACATTACAACACATGTATCTGTTGTAATCGAAACAAAGTATCAGGTGCATTTGTTATAATCCATACATAGCGACACGTGTTTCTGTTATAATTCATACATAGTGACACTTGTATTTGTTAAAATCCATACATAGTGACACGTGTTTCAGTTATAATTCATGCATAATGACACGTGTTTCAGTTATAATTCATACATAGTGACACGTGTTTCAGTTATGTGTCATGTATATATACTTTGGCGTGCATCTGTTAAAGTATATACATAGTGTCACATGTATCTGTAATGATGTATACAATGTGTCACGTGTATCTGTAATAATGTGTACAATGTGTCACATGTATCTGTACAATGTGTCACGTGTATCTGTAATAATGTATACAGTGTGTCACGTGTATCTGTAATAATGTATACAGTGTGTCACGTGTATCTGTAATAATGTATACAGTGTGTCACGTGTATCTGTAATAATGTATACAATGTGTCACGTGTATCTGTACAATGTGTCACGTGTATCTGTAATAATGTATACAGTGTGTCACGTGTATCTGTAATAATGTATACAATGTGTCACGTGTATCTGTAATAATGTATACAATGTGTCACGTGTATCTGTTTTGATATATACATAGTTCCACATGTGTCCGTTATAATGTATACATTCTTTTAAGTTTGACTATTATAGGGCATTCTTAGAGTCACGTGCATCTGTTAATGTTCTCTTAATTTCGCGTGTATCTATTATAGTGTTCACTTAGGGTCGCGCGTATCTGTTATAGTGTACACTCAGTTTTGCATGTATCTTTGATTGTGTTCAATTGATTTCGTGTGTACCTGTTAAAATGAGCTTAGGTGTAAGAGATGTTATAATGTATAATCAGTGTCACGTGATTTATTCAAATGTACACTTAGTGTCAAATGTATCTGTTTTAATGTATACACAGTGTCACGTGATTTGTCCAAATGTACACTTAGTGTCACATGTATCTCTTATAATGTATACACAATGTCACGTGATTTGTTAAAATGTACACTTAGTGTCACATGTATTTGTTATATTGTATACATAATGTCGTGTGATTTGTTCACAGGTACACTTAGTGTAACATGTATCTGTTTTAATGTATACATAATGTCGTGTGATTTGTTCACAGGTACACTTAGTGTCACATGTATTTGTTATATTGTATACATAATGTCGTGTGATTTGTTCACAGGTACACTTAGTGTAACATGTATCTGTTTTAATGTATACACAGTATCATTGTTATTCAGTATTTGTTATAGATTACACATAGTGTTTTCATTGTTACAATGTACAGATTGTATCACGTGTATCTTACGGTGAGCACATGGAGTCGCGTGTATCTGTTATAGTGTGTACATAGCGTGACGTGTATCTGTTATAGTGTATACATAGGGTGACGTGTATCTGTTATAGTGTGTACGTAGGGTGACGTGTATCTGTTATAGTGTGTACATAGGGTGACGTGTATCTGTTATAGTGTGTACAAAGTCGTGTGATGTGTGTCTGTTATAGTGTATACGTAGGGTGACGTGTATCGGATTTAGTGTTTATATAGGGTGACGTGTATCTGTCATAGTGTTTATATAGGGTGACGTGTATCTGTCATAGTGTGTACATAGGGTGACGTGTATCTGCCATATTGTGTACATAGGGTGACGTGTATCTGTTATAGTGTACATAGGATGACGTGTATCTGTTATAGTGTGGACGTAGGGTGACGTATATCTGTTATAGTGTGGACGTAGGGTGACGTGTATCTGTTATAGTGTGTACATAGGGTGACGTGTATCTGTTATAGTGTGTACGTAGGGTGACGTGTATCTGTTATAGTGTATACGTAGGGTGACGTGTGTCTGTTATAGTGTGTACATAGGGTGACGTGTATCTGTTATAGTGTACATAGGGTGAAGTGTATCTGTTATAGTGTGTACGTAGGGTGACGTGTATCTGTTATAGTGTACATAGGGTGACGTGTATCTATTATAGTGTATACGTAGGGTGACGTGTATCTGTTATAGTGTGTACATAGGGTGACGTGTATCTATTATAGTGTATACGTAGGGTGACGTGTATCTGTTAGAGTGTGTACGTAGGGTGACGTGTATCTGTTATAGTGTGTACGTAGGGTGACGTGTATCTGTTATAGTGTACATAGGGTGACGTGTATCTATTATAGTGTATACGTAGGGTGACGTGTATCTATTATAGTGTGTACGTAGGGTGATGTGTATCGGATTTAGTGTTTACATAGGGTGACGTGTATCTGTTATAGTGTATACGTAGGGTGACGTGTATCTGTTATAGTGTGTACATAGGGTGACGTGTATCTGTTATAGTGTATACGTAGGGTGACGTGTATCTGTTATAGTGTGTACGTAGGGTGACGTGTATCTGTTATAGTGTGTACATAGGGTGATGTGTATCTGTTATAGTGTGTACATAGGTTGACGTGTATCTGTTATAGTGTGTACAAAGTCGTGTGACGTGTATCTGTTATAGTGTGTACATAGGGTGACGTGTATCTGCCATATTGTGTACATAGGGTGACGTGTATCTGTTATAGTGTACATAGGATGACGTGTATCTGTTATAGTGTGTACATAGGTTGCGTGTATCTGTTATAGTGTGTACATAGGGTGACGTGTATCTGTTATAGTGTGTACATAGGGTGACGTGTATCTGTTATAGTGTGTACATAGGTTGACGTGTATCTGTTTAAATGTGTACAAAGTCGTGTGATGCATGCTAAGTCTTTCATTTATCTTTTAATATGAAAGCCCAAGAGTATCTGACAGAGTTTATAAAATGGAATACCTATTCTGATCTTCCAGAGTTACCGCCCTTTGTTTCACTCTCTCAGTAAAGCGATTACTTGACAGCTGTTTGGGGCCGAGAATGTGGGATCCCATACAACAACTGTGATTGTATAAAAACATGTATTTAAACATATAGTTGTTATTCAGACCACATTATGTAATTACTATATACATTACATGTCACCAGTAATGTTTTTGAAGTATGGACTTATGTCACTTGTAGGGATTTACATACAAATGCATTATATCTTGATATGCAATAGTTTTTAAATATTTCCCTGAGCCAAGTTTTTACACATACCTCCTTTGTATAAATATTGTTTTGGTGCCTTTTACTTTGAAAGTTCTGATTTATTGTTATCGTTAATATAATAACCATTCCTGCACGTATGTATTAATATAATGACCATATGAACACGTGCGATGTAGATATCATAATTGTCTATGTTACGTCACTACACCTAGTATTTACTAAAGGGAGTATTACCGGTTTATTTTTAAGGCTGGTTCGAGGTATTGTCTACAAACTGTCCACCGCTAATGAACATATGTTGTTATAACTCAACCAGTTTGATACCAATGTGTGTCGTTTCGAAGACAGGAATAGTATGTTTGAGATGGTAATAGAATTGACAGGACTTTTCGGTTCTACTGTTGTCTTTGTCCACTAGGGTGGATACGGGTCTGATCTCCCAAACGTCCATCGAAACGTCTTGCATACATTTTTCACTTGGTTGTGTTGTAAGAGTATATATTTTGTATTGCCGACATGAAGAAAATACATGAGAATTTCCCGAACATATGTATCTACTGAACGTTTGTAGTCGGTATGGCATGGACGTCCTTATTGACACCATATTCTATGCAGTACATATCAACATTAAAATCTGCATACCCGGCATTAAAAGCCAATATGTATATCCGGTATTTTAATGACAATTTGCATATCCGGTATTTTAATGACAATTTGCATATCCGGTATTTTAATGACAATTTTCACTCAGTTCTGCTGATATATTAAAAAAGACATATCCTGTATGATTTATTTTTGGTGTCAAAGGTGACCATGATAGCACTGTACAAATGTCAATGAGGCAAGGGTGGGGAAGAGGGTTGTGAGGGGGGGGGGATGGGTTGAATATCTGTTGCAGTGCTTGACTAGTCAAAAGATCAATAGAAATTATTTCAATGGTACTAAAAGTAAAGAAATATAGTATAGAAATAGAGGGCGTTACTGTAGTGATAAATGGCCGTTACTATAGAAATAGAGCGTGTTACTGTAGTGATAAATGGCCGTTACTATAGAAATAGAGCGTGTTACTGTAGTGATAAATGGCCGTTACTATAGGTATATGACCGTTACTATAGATATATGATCGTTACTGTAGTGATCAAATTATCATTACTACAGATGTAGATGATCGATACCACACTGATAAAAGATCATTACATCAGAGATAAATTATTGTAAAGATAAACTAACTTTCATTTACTATAAAGATAAATTGCTATAAGATATGTGGTTATTAGTACTAATTGATGACTTTTGCTTAAAAGAAAATTATTAAGATAGACAAAAGCCTGTTTTCGTTTATAATTTACAAATCACTTCAACTTGAATGTTAGTTAATAAATATTTAAAAATCACATGTATTGCGTTTTCATTTTAGGTCACCTGTAACAATGCCTCAAATGACCTTATCGCCTTTTGTCTAGCGTCGTCCTCCGTGCGTCGTACGCTGTACGTCTGTAAACAAGTTAAATGTTGACTTCTTTTCAAAACCCCCTGAATGACGTTTTGCAGAAACCAATTATCGCTCAACGAAAATGATAAATTATATGGCAACCGCCCAAGGGGCCTATGAGCGAAAGGGTCGAAAATTGAGTTTCAAAATGGCAGTAGAAGCAGTACATCAGCTTGTACGTTTACAAATAGGCATTTAAGTCCAAACATGTACGTACGCAAGAATATAGCGTCCATTTTTTGCCAAAAAGTAAAAA